CGTCGGGGAAGAGGCCGCCGGCAATCCGCGCGAGCCCCGCCGGCCCCGCGCCCCCGCCGCCGGGGCCGCGAGCCGCGAGCGCCCCGGGAGCCGCGTTACCTGCGGAGTAGGGCGAGGGCTGGTGGTCGCGCAGGGCGCCCAGGGCGCAGTTGGCGGTGCCGAGCGGCGGGCAGCCCGGGCTGGCGGCGAAGCTGCTCCGGATGGGGTTGTACTGGAAGCTGTTGGCCTGGCTGCACGAGTTGAAGTCCGCGTACGCCGACGCCTCCATGGCGGCCATGCACGAGTCGTAGGAGTTCAGGTACGAGTAATCCATCTTGAACATGGACGGCGGCGCGGCGGCGGCGGCGGCGGCGGTCGGGGCTCCCGGCGGCCCGCCGATCCGCGGCTCGGCCCTGGCCCTGGCGCTGCGTCTGCCGCTGCCGCCGCCGCTGTGCTGCCGGACCGACGGGGCGGGCGGGTGATATAGGCGGCCGCGCTCGGGGAAGGCCGGGGACGAGGCGGCCGGATCCTTTGCATGACAATCTCTCCCGGAGTCTATTGGGGGCAGGAACGGGGCGCGGAGGGGGGTCCGCCCGCTGCCCCGCCCACCCGCCCCCCCTCCCGTCCTTAACCCTTTCCGGGCCGTCCCAAGGCAGAGCGCAGCGGGAGGTGGGCTACTCCCCTTTCCCCCGCTGCCGAGTTCCCGCGGCTCTTCTCCAGCGTTCCGGCATCTCAGGGCCGCGGTCCTGGGGGCGCAGATCTGAGCTATCCCCTCCTTGGAGCTGTCTGGGGCAAGCGGGGATGCAGAACGGCCCGAAGGGGCTCTCGGAGCTGACTGGGCGGTGGCGCTGTCAGGAAGGGACCTCGGGCCGGGAAAGTCCCCAAACTTAGTTGCGAGGCTGCAGTTGCGACTGTCGCCCGTGCCGTTTTCCCCTCCCGTCTGCCCCAAACCGAGCAGGGCGCGCAGAAGCCCTTCCAGCCCCTGCCGAAGTCAGAAGGGCCTCCGCCCCGTCTTGCCTCTTCGCGGCGGCCCTCAGTGGGAAAGCTTCGCCGTGGCCTGCCAGGCAAGGCCGTGGACGCGCCTCTCCCGTTTCCCCGGCCCCACCATTGCTCGCCCGACCTCCCCCGCACGTGATCCCGGGAGGGCCCCGCAGAGGTGGCCGAGCGGGAAGAGGCTGGCGGGGCATCTGGGCAGAGGACGGGCGGGAAGGAAGGCTTTGCGAGTTTGCGTCTGTCTGTTCGTCCTTCCTTCTGTTCGTCTCTTTCTCTTATGGAACCTTACCCCAACTGGTGCCTCTAGATGTGTAGGACTCCTTGGCCCATCATCCCCAGTTAGGATGATTGGGGCTGGACTACTCCAGCACATCTGGAGGGCAGCCAGAGGGGTGAGCTAAAGCTAAGGGGCTGGAGGGAGCGAAAGGGTCTGGACAGACAGGCCGGGTGTTCGTTCGTGTTACACGCTTACTGGGGTGGCGGTGGGAAGAGGCAGTGTGCGTGCGTGCGTGCAAATTTTCCACATCCGCCAGGCTAGGCAGAAAGTCTGGGTTCAGCAGCAGCAGCAACTGAGCTGCCTCCTCCCGTAACCGCCTCCCCCCGCGCCCCGCCGTTGCCTGGCCTGTAGGCTAAACGGATTCTGAAAGCGCGCGTATGAATCGCGCGTGATTATTGCGGGGCAGGTCACTCGGGAGAGGCGCGTGCTCGTGCTGGGTGTGAGGCGCGTCCCTGCCGACGGTGGCCTCTTCCCACCAGCGGCAAGCACAGAACCCGCCCGACTTGGGTGGCCACCCGGGCCCCAGGCAACCAGGGCGGCGCGCCCTCCTGGTGACCCGGTTCCATTCTCCTGTCTCTGGTGACACCCAGTCCTCTTTCCACAGACTCCCATGATCGCAAATCCCATCTTCCCCATGCAGCAGGACGAAGGGCAGCGGCTTGGGGCAGGCTGCAACCCCCGCCGGGCCGCGCTGCTCCAAGGGCGGGCGGCCCCTTTTGGCTCACACCACCGCTCCCCTAATTCGGGGGGCGGGTGGGGTGCGGAAGCCGCGTGGCCTGCGGTTCGCCTGCAGCGAACAGGGCGGGCGGGCGAGCGCTGCGCAGGACTGCCCTGGGCGGACCGCGGCGGCGTCTCTGCCGGCTGCCCGCCCCGCAGTGGCCGCCGCTTGGACTGCGTGGCGAGAGGGCGAGGAGGAGGCTTCCGGGGGCTCCTGGCGCTGGTGGCCCCGCGCGGGCCGGGAGCAGAGCCCGGTGCCTGTGCGCGCCAGGTCAGGCCAGCGCTCTCGCACGGCGACCCCCGGCTTGGCTCCCTCCAGCTGTGGCTGGTCCAGCCGTGGCCTGGCCGCTGCCCGGGAGAGCTTCGACCACAGCCCTTTCGCCGGCCTCCTCCTGCCCGCTCCCTCCCTCCAGAAGAGCCCCCCGGCCGCTCCGTGAGCCCCTCCTTCCCCGGTGCGAAGCCACAGACCCCAGTGACCCCCCCACCCAGGAGGCCACGCTCCGCTGACCACTGGCCGCTGGCGGGGCAGCTGCCGTCCCTGCGCTCGCCCCCCGCTGCTGCTTCAGCTTGGGGGCCGCTTCGCCGACCCTTCACGGGCGGCCCCTTGTCCGCTCCCGGAGGCCGGCTCGAAGGGCGGCGGAGGGATTTGGAAGAGCGCGGCCCGCCGCGGGGCTCCCCCAGGCTGGGGCCGCGGACCCGAGCCCGGGAGGCGCGCTTCCCCTCCGCGGCGGGGCTGACGGGCACCGGTCTGTGGCCGTGGACGCGGCTGCCTGGGGGGGGGGGCTCAGGAGCTCCCTGCTAGTGCGCCAAAGGGACGGGGTGGGGGCAGCACTGACGGGGGCCCGCAGAAGAGGGGAGGGGCTCTGGAGGAGAAGGCGCGGCGTGCTCGGCTTCCCCCCTTTGGCCTGTCACAGCCGCTCCTCTCGAGGTGCCCACATGCCCGCGTGGAGGACGTGTCTGCTAGAAGGGGGGCGGAAGGACGGGGGGGCGCACTCAGGCTTCGCCGCGGCCTTCTCCAAGCGCCCCCCCCCCGTTCTTTTGGCGCAGGAATCGTTCGCTCATCCATCGAGCAATCGGTTATTGCAAGCGCAGATGGACAGGAGTAAATAAAGGGGTCCGCTGGATCCGACACGGGGCGAGGGGGTCTGGATGCCCGGCGGGGGAGGAGCAGGATGAGCGCCCCTTAATTCCTTTGACGAGCCAATCGCTGCCTCTCAGCCCTGGCACAAGCGGCCCGGCCCGCCCGGTAATTCGATCAGCGCCCCCCCCCCCGCCCCACTGAACCCCAGGACGCCTTTGTAGGCGCTCGGAGCCCAACCGGGGGCTTATGCGCGCGCGGGGCAGGGGCGGGGGAGGCGAGGCGGAGGGGGGGGAGGGGAAGCCCCGCTTTCGCTCCAGCCCACCAGGCACCTGCCCGCGGAAGAGTCAGCGCAGAGCCGAAGCCTGCCGCGCCGAGGGGGCTTCGTCGGGGCCTCGGCCGCGGCGTCCAGATGCCAGCAGCGCCTTCAGAGGCAGGAGGAGCCGGTCGCGTGGCCCTGGCGCCCCCCCGCTCCAGTGCGGCAGCGTGGAGCAGCCCCCGACGCCGCGCCCTCCCCCAGGGGCCCGCGGCCCTTCCCGACAGAGGGCCCCAGAGCACGCAGTCCCCCTCCCCGCCGGCCAGGGGCCGCCTTCCCCGCCACTGCCGCGTCCCTCCCAGGAGGGCCCCCGTCCGCAGCGGGGCAGCACCGGCGCAGAGGGGCCGCCGCCCGCCCGCACGCGCGGGGCCCCACCGGGAGGGCGCCTTGGAGCGAGGCCCGGAAAACGGGCCAGGCGCCCCGCAAGCGCACCCAGCCGAGGCACAGGGGCGGCGCAGGCCCAGGCCGCCCTGGCGCTGGGCAGCGCTCCGTCTCCCGGCCGGCCGACCGTCCTCACGCGGCCGATTCCTGCCCTTCCCGAGGCAGGCGCCCGCCCCCCCAAGGCGCCGCCGCCGCCGCCCACCGCTTCCCCCATTTCGGCCGATGCCAGCCCTGCTCCAGGCTCTGGGGCCGCGCCGAGGCCTGCTTGCTCATCGTGAGCACAAGCCGCTTTGGGAATGCAGAGAAATCCCTCGGGGCGAGGCGGGGGGCGGGGGCGTCCGGGGACAGGGAATGAGAATCTGCGCGGAACTGCAGACAGCAAGATAGTCCAGGAGAAATATTCCAAGTTTTCTTAACAATAAACGAGAGAAGCAGATGCATAAGGGAAAAAATGGCATTCAGTCAGAATCAAAGGGATGTGGTCACAACAGAGACCAATTTTCCTTTTAAAATGTGGTTTATTCCCTCGCCGTTCCACTAAAGAAGTCCCCCCACCCCGGTGGCCAGCAGTGGAAAGAGCCAAAACGAAAGCATGGCTGAAGAGGCCAAACGCAGTTGAGCAAACGTTCTTTTCTTGGTATGCTTTAACTGTGGTTGAAAAGCAGGATTAAAGACACGGCGGAACCGGGGCCAAAGCACCGAACCCTCAGCCCGGGCCCTGCGCCGAAGACCTGCTGAGGAAAAGCTCTTTTCCGCCCGACGAGGCTGCTTCGGCCTCGCTTGGAGGGCGCAGCCGCCGAGAAGCCCCTCTGGGGAGGCAGCGCGCTGCGGGGGCCGAGCGGGGCGAGGGGCGGCCGAGCGCTCGCGTAGCGCCGGGACGGGGATCACGGCAGAAAGTTCTGCAGAGGGAAGCGGGCACTGGCCCCAACTTCCGAAGACTTGCTGACGGGGGGCGGCGGCGGGGGGCGGCGGGGCCGCATCCTGGCTTTCCTGCCTTGGTCTGCCACCGTCCCAACGAAGATGCCTTCATCCCCCCGCCCCGCACCTTGCTTCGCCCTTCCCGGCCCGGAGCGCTGCCCGGGCTTGCTCGCCCGGGCCTCCAGACCCCTTCCCGCTGTGCCGTGGCTTTCCTTCCGATGGCGAACCTGCGAGCGGCGGGGTCTTGTCTGATGGCTTGCCCTGCCCTGGGAACCTCTTCGGGTCGAGGGGCGGTGTAAAACGCGCGCGCACGTGTCCGCACATTCGCACCAGAGGCCGCTTTTGAGCGAGCCGGGGTGGCAGGAGCGGGGAGCGAGCAGGCAGCGGGCCGCGCCGCAGGAGCCAAGGGCGGCGCAGCCCCGATCCGTCCCGTGCCTGGGCTGGCTGCCGGCCGTGTTCGGGGACCGGCAAACGGGCGGCGGGCGCGCGGAGGCGGCCTGGCTTCCCGCCGGCGGCGCCGGGGTCCCGCCAGCCGCACCCCGCAGAGCGCATGGGGCGAGCCGGCCGGGCCCTTGTCCTGGCTGCCCTTGCAGAGGCCCAGAGGCCGCGTGAAATCGGCCGGGCGGGGGAGGCCAGGTTGTCCCGGGCTGGCCGGCGGGGCAT